TCCATCTGCACGTGAGACGCGGCGGCGACCCACGACTTTGAGCGCGAATTGAAAAGGAAGACGCGAGGATCCTGGCCTCCACTTGGAGCCGGCGTCGCTGGAATCCCTAATTTTGCAGAGGAAGACGCGGCCCAAATTTCCGGCGCCGAGGAGGTGGAGCAGCTTGAGGTGGCTGAGGTGGAGGCGCCCGTCGGAGGAGAGGTTCGTGGCGGTCCTGATTGTGGACCAGTGAGGGTCGGATCTGCGGTGGTGCAGCAGGAAGAAAGAGAGAAGAAGAGTCGAAGGAGTTGTAGGGAAAGAGAGAAGCTGGAGGGGTCACCTCCTCTTTTTTTATTTTCGGTTGTGGGTCGGTCGGCCGGTTAGCCGCGGTTAACAGCCTTCGGTTACTCGGCTAACCGGAGAACCCTTCACTCTTGCCGAACACCGACCGCGACTAATAACCGGTCGGTTTTCGGTTAGTGACTAACCGGCGGTTAGCGGTTAAAACCGCCGGTTAACTGCTAACCGGAAACCGATCTGTCACCCCTAACTGGGACGGTATCCCCCTTAGTCCCTTTTTTTTTTTTTGAATAGCCCCTTAGCGATAGGTGAGGTTTATATACTGTTAGGAGTGCTAAAGTAGCTAGGACTAGGGGTGAAAATTGGGGTGTGTTTGGTTACCCTTCGGTTCTTCCTACAATTTGTGTTAACCACACTTATAAATATAGATTTTTTTTTTATAGATAAGGGTGATATAGGTTACTTTATTGTTATTGGGTACTACTGAAGGGACTCGAACCCGGGACCTCCAGGTTCATGGCTAGTGGTATTACCACTAAACCAATCCCTTGTTCGTCACACCTATAAATATAGAATTATGCTATCCACAATCTATAACCACTACTACCCATTGTGGGTTGGTGCGGGTTGAATGTGGATACCCACAAAAAATTTATTATTGAATATAGTAATATGATAATTAAATATTGATGTTATGTTTCTTCTAACACAAAAATAAAAACTACAGAATACAAAGTTATAAAGTGTTAAATAAATTATAAACCATATTTGTGCACTTGGTTTTGTTATACGGAACTATAAAAAAGTATCACTTGTGTTCCGAACTATTCAATATGACATTTATGTCTTGAACTATTTTTTCTTTAGCATTGACCAAATTTGACCGTCAATATTTAACAGAAAATTCATTCAGTGTCGACATGGCATCTAATATGGAATTTTAAATATTAATTTTTATCTCGATTTTCATCTAAAATTATTAAAATAAGAAAAATAAAAAGTTACAAAAATCCCCAAATCATCTTAATCGCTCCGTCGATTCCTCTTGTACGTGGGCACCAGGCCGGGCCGTCCATGGGCTAGCACAACACGACACGATTAGAGCACGGCCCGAGCACAAAATATATAGGCGGGCCCGACACGAGCACGAATAATTTATCGACCGTGTTGGATCTAAACTTCATGGGCACGGAGCACGACACAGTATGTAAGTGGGCCGTGTCGGACCTAATTTTTTCGAGACCTTATTGAGTATAAGAACGAAGATAGCACGAAAAGAATATTTATTTGATACAAAATGTATATATAAACTTATAGATTCAAATATTACAAAAATAATCATTTACTGTTATTAGAAGTGATTATAAGGATATATACGCATTACTACCCTGGAGGAACCCCAACCTCCTATGTCATTTTCAACTCTAATAGAACCTCGCCACCAAAGTAAGTGGTCTGCGACTGCGAGAGGCCTTAGAGAAATACGATATTGTCCATAGGGCCAGATAAATTTGATATGCTCCAACTTATGATCACATGTTATTGCTTCAAGTTCACCAGTGGTAATCGAAAGACTTAGGGGTCGTTTGCTTCATGGATTTAAAAATGAGGGTTTTGCAACGTAAAAACCCAAAGATTTATCAAGGATTGGATGCGTTATGAATTTGTAACAATCCTTTGTTCGTTGAGATGTTTTATCATGAATTTAAGGGTTGGGATTTAGAACTTAAAATGGCGAAAAGGATAGTAAGGTAATTTCTGACGGCACCCAGCCCACCATTCGTACGACAAGTTCTAGATTACGTTATGCATTCTGGAGAATGCTAACCTAGGAAATTTGAAGGCTGTGGTGAAGGATGGGGTTCTTACAGTCACGATTTCGAAGTGGTCTCGCAACGAGAGTGAATGGCCGAGGACAGTGGAGATTGCTTTGAGAGATTCGGCGGAGTATGAGGTCATCAAGGGGGAGGAGCTGTGATGATTTTATGAAGATAAGACTTTGTGACTAGAATACAGTAGGGGTTTTCACGGTTAAATCAGCATACCACTTCGCGGTCAATCTTGACCAACAGAGGGGTAGATGGAGAGCTCTGGCTAGCTGGATGGATGGGGCTAGTTGGATCCGATTATGGGGGCTAATATTCCTCCGAAACTTAAGGTGTTTTCTGGCAAATCTACCATAGAATATTGCCCACTACGGAGGCCCTGATTGAAAAGAAGGTTGCGGTTTTACCTAGGTGTTCGGTGTGCTGGGCAGATTCGGAGACAATGGAACATATGTTTCTTGATTGTCCAGTCGCTCGTGGCCTTTTGCTGGGCTTGCTCGGCCTGAGGAAGGGTTGCCTCGTCATACCTTCCCGCTCTTTCTGAAGAAACTGTTGACTTTGATACATCATTCAAATTTATTCGTGGCGATAATTGCTGTCCTGTGGCGAATATGGAGATCTCGCAACTGGGTTGTCTTCGAGGGCAAGCAGTTTGGGATCCTTGCCTTAACGCGGCAGTTTAACCATCAGGTTCAGGAATGTATTAGTTTACCGGTGGACCGTGTCCTCTAGTTACCCAGTTCTCATACACCTCCCTTAGACTCCGATGGATCGGCTTTGGCGGTTTCTATGTGGAATGGGGTAGTTAGGAGTGGGTCTCATTCGGCAGGTGGGATGGTTATCATGACTCAAGATAGAGAGGTTCTCTTAATTAAGGGGATTCAATTTCAGTTGATTGATAACCCTATGATGGTTGAGGTGCTTGTTCTCCGGGAGGCTATCGATGACCCCTTGGAACATGGATTTTCAGCAATGAGGTTTGAGGGTGATGCCCAGGTGATCACTGAGAAGATCCTTCAGAGGGAAACAAGGGATAATTGAGTGGGACCGATTCTTGAAGAGGTTGTCCAGTCCTTCGAAATGAATATGGGGTTTAGTGTATGATTTGTAGGTTGGAATAACAATAGAGTAGCTCAGTTGGTGGCTCGCAAGACCCTTCTTTGTACTTGACTACGAGTCGTTGTTTTGATTTCCCGACCTGGCTGAATTCCAGGATGTAACTATCTATTTGTTCAATCAATATATGATTATCTTTTGTAAAAAAAAACAAGAATACAGTAGTGTACTCTGCTTTCCGGGTGAAGATTCCCCTTTTTTCCATTTTCTTTATCTCACTCAGACTTATTAATTAGCACATTGGTCTGGTTTTCCCTATGTTGGGTAGTTCATTTGGTTTAATGTTAATGTCCAATCGTAAAAAATCAATTGGTTCTTGTCTAATCATTGAATCAAATGAACCAAACTACTATTGTAACTTATTTTTTTATTCTACTATAGTGTGACTGTTGCTCTTTCTGTTGTTATAACGTGGGGTTTTTCATATGTAACTAGACCCGATTCGTTGACTCGACTCGAACTCACCTGAAAAATAAGAAAATGGGTTGAAATTTTTATAACTCAAAATCTAAATGAACCGAACCCGATTAACCCATAGTTTTTTGGATTGGAATGGGTGGGTTAGCGGATGACCTGCTAGACCGGTTCCGTTTCACATTCCTCTCTCAGAATGATAAAATCACTTGCAACTTATATTGGTGGAGTATTTGAGTGAGTTATTTGCGAGTTAGTTCGGTTCAAATAACTCGATTGGCAGCATTTAGTGAAATGAGTTATTTGGGCGGTGAGCTATTTATAAATAACTCAAAACGAGTTATTTACAAATAGCTCATTTTACCACTCTCCTTTTGCCAAATACCACATTTGGATGGTTCTATTAAACGAGATACTTTAATCCAATTACCACTAAAATAACACTGAAATACCACATGCACAATTAGTGAGTTATATGACTCTACAAATACCACATTGACTATTAATTCATCCAAACAACCTCTTACAAATTCGTGAGATGTTCACAAAAAAATTCATAAGAATTTGAAAGACACAAGTTTGGAGTGTAAGGATAATCAAACATCATTTGTTTTTTGTGGTAGTATTACTTTCGTGATTGTTTTTTAACAATTTGTATTTTTTTTCATCCGCATGGAAGGACTTTGAGCATTTGTTAATTGACATGTGCCAGGTTAGCTAATCATACATCTGTGAAAATTTTGTGTTCTCTGCAATTTTATGAAACATGTTTGATATTGTTTTCTGAGAATGCTTATAACCCGAAACTCGATCCGAAATCCAACAGCCAACTCAGTATAACCCGCGACCCGTGATGACCCGTAAACCTTAGATTTCCCAATCCGAAATTACTCAACCCAACTCGATTGCCAGGTCTATCAATAACGCAACAAACTTCACTGCTAATCGCGCGAAACGCAACAAACCCCGGCCCAGCCCGTCTCCCTCCAAGTTGAAGCCCAGCCCATTGTGATATATGGGCCCGTGCATAAAAGACCAATGGCTGACAGCTCCTGGCAAGCACACCAATCCATGGCGGATTTACCGTCACCGTAAGTTTAGACCCTTTAGTCATAAAAAGAAAACATCTGGAAGCCGTGAGAGAGGTCTGGAGTAAGAACTGAGAAAAAGCGTAGCAATTAGAAGTTTCGCCATTTTTCCAATCCTAATCATCTCCTTTCTCCTAACCTAGAACGTTCAAGAAGTACTACTCCCTCCAAAAACCCCTCTCTATATAATTTCCATCCGACTCCAGATCGCCGGATAAACAACCAGAAACAGAGCACGCATCATTCGAACGCAATCCAAAAAAAGAGAAGAAAAAAAATGTCGTCACTCAACTTCCTCCTCCTCCTCCTTCTCCTTCTCACCTTCCACGTCACGTTCCCTTCCACCACCACCACCGCCGCGGCGGCGTCCCTCCTCCCGTTCCTCGACCCGCCGCCGCTACCCACCGACCTCTGGCGCGACCCGTTCCGCATCCTGGAGCACGCCCCCCTGTCCCTCGATCGGGACGACGTGTCCCCTCTCCTCGCCACGTCACATGCCAGGGTGGACTGGAAGGAGACCCCCGAGGGACACGTCATCAGCCTCGACGTCCCCGGGATGCGGAAGGAGGACGTGAAAATCGAGGTGGAGGAGAATCGTGTCCTCAGAGTGAGCGGCGAGAGGAAGCGCGAGGAGGAGAAGAAGGGGGACCACTGGCATCGAGTGGAGCGGTCGTACGGGAAATTCTGGAGGCAGTTCCGGCTGCCGGAGAATGCCGACCTGGATTCGGTTCAGGCGAGGCTGGAGAACGGGGTGCTCACCGTTTCGTTCAAGAAGCTGTCCCCGGAGAGGATTAAGGGGCCCAGGACGGTGAGTATTGCTGGCGGGGAGACGGCGGCGGCAGCGGTGAAGGATGAGGCGGCGGCCAAGCAGGAGCTGTGATGGTGATTGGTGTGAAAGATCTATAGTACTAAAATAGTATATTACTGTTGTGCCACCTTGCTTTAATTTTCTCTTCTTTGTTTGCTTTTCATCGATCGACCCCGATTTCTTCCATCTGTGTGTTTGGTGTTGTTGTGAACTTGTTGCGGATTTCGGCAGGCTGTACCTGTACGGTTATGGAGCCTTAAGATAAATGAAATACGATTAGTTGTGACTTATTAGCCGATCTTCTACACTTGTGAGTTGGTCTTGACCTGTTGTTAGAGTCTAATAGTTTCACGAGATGGGCTTTGCCCATAGGGTGGCAGTTCGGTTATTTCGGTTATAATCGATAACTGACCGGTCGGTTATCGGTTAATCGAAATAATCACATTCTCTATTGAAAACTGATCGAAATAGGCTTCAGTTTCTCGGTTATCTCGATTATTGGTTAACTGAACCATTTTTAAGACCAAAACCATTTTGTCCAGCCTTTAATAATCGATCGAAATTCGATGATTTCGTTTACCGGTTAGTGGATAACCAGTCAGTTATCAGTTTAACCGGTCGGTTAACCGACAACCAGTAACCGAACGGCCACCCCTATTTGGCCCTTATATGGTATCCTTCAATCTTAGACCAACAAGGTCATGTACCTGAGGAGAAGCAACAAAATACATACATATAATTTTTAGTTAACCAAGTTCAGCCTATTGTTTATACCTCGGTTCAAAGGTGCCTCATCCTTTGAGACCTAGTGTCTATAATTTTTTTTTTAAATCTTATTTCGATCCAACTCCAAATTGAGTCCCTTTGAATGGAACTCAAACCCTTGACAAGAACTCATAAGCACTCATACTTAAGAGAGAAATTACTTAACATCTCTACCACTCAACCAATAACCCATATCACTTCTACCTATTGTTAATCATCTTGTTTTGTGTAGGATTGCTCTCACACATTCCATGAGTCTTTTCTTATTGTTTCTCGTATTTATATTTTTTTTTTAGACTTGACAAATTACAACCCGATTCGTTGACCCAACTCGACCGCGTCCAAAAAATAAAAGTTTTAATAATCCAAAATCCGAATGACCCGAACCTAATTAACCCGTTATTTTTTTGGGTTGGGTTGGGTTAGCGGGTGGACCTGTTAGACCCGTTCTATTTCATATGTCACTCCTAAAATTATAAAATCACTCATAAATTGGTGAGATGTTTAAACATTTTCACAAGAATTAGAAAGACATGTTTGGAAATTAAGGATAATCAAATATTAATGTGTTTCTTGTAGTAGTATTACTTTTGTGATTGTTTCCTGACGATTTGTGCAATTTGTATTTCATTCAATTAGCATGGGAGGATTTGAGAATATGTAGAAAGACATGTGTTAGGTAAAGCATTGCCATGCATATATGAAGATTTGAGTTCATTACAAAAATATGAAGCATGTTTGATATAGTTTTCGAGAGCGCTCACGATCCGAAACGTCTTGTAACCTGACCCAAAACTCGATGGGTTTAGTCAATATTTGACCCGAAATCAACCAACTCAACATGACCGGGTCTGTAACCCAATGTCCCAACCCGAAATTATCTATCCCGACCTGATTGCCAGATCTACTTTCTTTTGATGCTTCTCCTGATCTTCCTTTCACTTTGAAGATTCTTTCCTCCTGGTACAACCACAATCATGCATCATCTTGGTCATTGTACTTCATAAACTATATTACCGAAGCTCGAGCTTGAAAGATGGGGTCGTCATCTCCTTCAAACAAAGGGTTGTAGCCACTGCCTCCATATTGTCTGCCACGACCATCCCTCCTCCGTGATAACCATCGCAATTCCACCCCAGTTGGCTTCTATTAAGCGGCACCACGATCTCCCATCCTTAAACTCCTCCTCTAGTTGGTGGTGCCTTCTTGCTTCTTGGCCCTAGTGTGGACGAGTTCTTATGGTCACATGCTGCATGACGTGGCAACCACCAACGGGGAAAACCATGAATTGCCCGCTGCTCACGAGGGCAAGATTCCTCCTTGCCTCCTTTAGCTGCCCTTGGCCAGTTCGGTTGGTTCATTTAGATTTGAAATGAATAGACTCATTCGGTTCTCAGGTTCGTCCGTTCGGGACATTCCAGCTCGACCCATTTCAGACTCCACATGGCTCAAGTGCTCCACTCGGCCTCTTAGCTCTAACCCGAATCCTCTACTGGGGTTAAGTGGGCGTAGGCTCAATCCTCCATCTTCTGCCTATCTCTAATGTGCAACCCACTCTTGTTCTTCGAACGAATTTCCATGTCAAATCTCATAGCATTACCGAGGGCGGGGCATTAATCGAACCGATCCAGAATCAAATCAATCAAGATAGGATCAAACCAAAATTAAATGAATAATGAGGATGGGACCCCGAATAAAAACTTTGTTATCTACGTTTTTTCTTCATATTCAATATTCAAGATGCATTTACGGAATCAAAACTAAATCAAAATATGCCTAATCCGATTCGATTTTATTCGATCACAAATATCTAATCGATACAATTCCATCATATGTGTACCAGATTGTTGCCAAACCTGAGAACAATAATTTTTCCCTGATACAAAATCATTGGGTTTTCTCAAATTTATTTGTCACGCACACACTTGTGATTCCTCCCTCTCGCACTCACCTCAACCCATGTTTCTTTAGACAATTTAAGATTATTAAGGAACACAGCAAAAAGGAGCCAAAATAATTAATCTTTTCATCGTGCCGTCGTTTCCGTAAATTTCCTCCTAAAAACGCTCCCCCACTTTATCCACTAATTTTTTTTTATCCCTTCCTTCTTCCTCTCTAATCCTCCCAATAATCTTAAATATAAATACTCCCACACCTCCAGAAACCAGTCCAGATCCCAATTCGCCATTTCCCTCTGTTCTTCCTTCCTTCTTATCTCTTTCTCCTTCCCCCCAATAAAAAAGACTCCGTCTTTCGACACCAGATTCCTTTTCCCCACACGGGTTTGGGTTATGTCTAGAATGTGGAGATGGAAGAAGCTCAAGGACACCGGCACCACACTCTTCCTCCTCTCTCCTTCCCCCCGCTCATCCCGCCCTCCGATCGCCGCCTTCCGCCTTCTTTCCTCTTCTTCTCCGGCGGCCCGGTGCTTCCGATTCTCCCCAACCACCACGCATTTGAACTTCATCAACAGGTACCGTCGCCGGGAGTCGCTCCCCGGGGTTCAGGAGCGGTTCAAATGGGACGGCGGCGAGGGTGGTGGAACAACTGGTGGCGGTAATAATTCGATTGATGGTGGTGATAATAACAGTATCAGGCAGATTAAGGCGGAGGCTAATTGCCCTCGTTGTTCCAAGCACATGGATCTTCTCTTCTCGAACAATCACGGTCGGGGTCTTAACCATCCGCATCATAATCCCAATCTCTCCCCTCCTTCCGATCCTTCTTCTTCTTCTTCTAATCAGAGCGGTAATGGCGGCGGAGGGGATGTGTTACAAGCTGTGAATTACTGCCCCAATTGCAAAACTGCTTACTACTTTCGCCCTTACAGCAATGCTCCGCTACAGGGGAGCTTCTTTGAGATTGGGAGGATCAGCAATGGTAAGTTGAGGAATAAGTACAATTCCGCCAAACATTCCAATAATAGTGGTGAGGGGCAGGATTCTTCGTCTTCCGGGGATTCGGTGACTGCTTCCAATAGCAGCATCAACAAGAGGCTGAGGGCTTCATTCTGGCAGACTCTCCGGTTGTATGCGGGTGACCCACCTGAAAACTGGCCGCCGTTGCCTTCTTCTGCCCCCCCGCCGCCGCCGGCGAATGGGCTGGCTGTGCATACTCCCCCTGGTCCACCATTTGCACCAGGTGTTAATGTTGTCAGGGCAGCTGGCGGAGGATCGAATGGTGATTCTGTGGAGGGAGAAAAGAGTGGTAGATGGGGTGGGGCTAATCTAGGGAAGGACTTACCAACTCCGAAAGAGATCTGTAAGGGTCTTGACAAGTTTGTTATTGGACAAGACAGGGCCAAAAAGGTTTGTAATTTGCTTTCTATTGCTGTTAATGTCTAGGGGATGATCGCCCTTCAGAACATTCCACTGAAACCTGTTTCCATGGTTTTTACTGGCAGGTGCTCTCCGTTGCTGTGTACAATCACTATAAGAGGATTTATCATGCCTCTCAAAAAGGGTTAGTTGCATTGCCGTGGTCCTGAATAGTCCTACTTATTTTCAGCAAGTTTTCAATCATCTGTCTCTTTCCCATTTTGTTCTATGATATGAACTGAAATGATGATTTCCAATACTAGGTCAGGAGAAGAATCTTCGAGTCCTAATGCAATTGATGATGACGATAATGTAGAGTTAGAAAAGAGCAATGTTCTCTTGATGGGTCCGACTGGCTCTGGTATGAGTTATGCTGTGCATTTGGGTCCTTTTAACATGCTATGGGAACAAAAAGATTTTCCAGATCTTTATGTGATCCTCCTGTTCTCAACCTATTAAAGTCTGATATGAAGATCTCTGTTCTAACTCTTCTGTGAAATAGGAAAGACGTTGCTAGCAAAGACACTTGCACGATTTGTGAATGTGCCATTTGTCATTGCAGATGCTACAACATTGACTCAGGCAAGTTTCTTCTGGATAACTCAAAGCCTTTCCCCCTTTTCATTAGAAAGCGTGAAATATATTGCATAGGAATTATAGCTGAAGGCAAGATGTCTATTGGGATGCTTCAAATAGGCATAAGTTTTCTGTTATGCATGGCATTCAAGACACAGCAGGTTAATGAATTTTGAAAATTTGTCCTCTATGCAGGCTGGTTATGTTGGAGATGATGTTGAGTCTATATTATATAAACTTCTAGCGGTATGTTTTCCTTCCATACTTCTCAATATATTGCTAGAGCCTATTATATTACTCTTTGAGTGAATGCCTGTCCATGCGCAGTTTATGTTGGGTATTTATCAAATGATTCCAATCATATTCCGTCATATGATTAGGTAGTCATGGTTAACATGCCTTCTGCTAGTGAAGAGTCCATGTCAGGCTGTACGGATCATCCAAAGATCCAGCTTTGGATGGAATAAGTAGGGCTTTACTAGATTCATAGATTGTACAGAATTTGGCCGGTTGGGGAAATTATACTATAAGAGTCATGTGACTCTGCAAGCCAGGGCATGCGTGAGCTACGATTGCTGTAACCACTAAATTTAGGAGCAGGCATGAAGCATTGAGGAATTCTTTATATGAATTAGTTTATATTTTTGGTGAATACATATGAATTAATTAGTATTGTTTGTGTTAAATGGGACTTTATGTGAAGCAAGCATTATTCTGATAATACATGCTTTCTGATTATCCTTTCCTTTCTTGACGACATGAAACGTTTTCTCTGTCCCTGAATTTAGGCGGCTGAGTTCAATGTGCAAGCAGCTCAACAAGGGATTGTCTACATTGACGAAGTTGATAAGATAACTAAGAAGGTTTCTTATGATACCCAGTTCTGTCAATTAGGATGTGATTTTGGATGCTCTGTAAGGAAGATCAGACTAATATAGTCGTACATTTGTAGGCTGAGAGCTTAAACATCAGCAGAGATGTATCCGGTGAAGGTGTTCAACAGGCTTTGTTGAAAATGTTAGAAGGAACGGTGAGTAAACCAAGATAGCAACATTTTATCATGGTTCCCTTTGTTTCTTGAACTGTACAATGACTGGATGTTCTTGCTCTGCAGATAGTTAACGTTCCGGAGAAGGGAGCAAGGAAGCATCCTAGAGGGGATAATATACAGGTATGATGAGTTATGTATAACTTACAGAAAAACAGTGTTATTTTCTCCGCCTGAACCTTTGGAACGTTCAGATAGACTGTATCATAGTGTACACCTCAGATACATGCTGTTCGCTTAGAATACCGGTTCAAGTAATCTATCAGTGTCATTAAATTTGTGATGCCGAACGAACTGTTTTGTTCTATACTACTACATACTGTTGGTTTTATAAAACTGCAGGGTGGCTACCTGAAGAAATGCTTGTTTTCCTCCCTTAGATTGTGTTTCAATTATGTTTTCCCATATTTGGTGGATTTAATGAACTATGTAGTTGGGCTTAGAATCTGAAATCTTAGACCTTTACCTACAGTGTCCTTTGTGAAGCTTCTCCAAAGATATGAAAGTTCTTATGTGTCTCTTGGGTTTGTTCGAGGACAATACAAAGTGGCTGAGTCGCACATGACTGCTTCATTCTTTATTTTACGGCAAACTGCCAAAAATGCTACTTATATTGGATCCTGACAATTAAATCGCAAGTACCATATCAATGAACAGGAGAATAATTATTTGGTCATTATATGGAATGGCTTTAGCTTGTTGAATAATTAGACTACTCAGATTCTTTAGGTTGGTGAAGTATTTAGTTGTGGATGCCCATTCTTATGCTTATTGGTCTTTTATCATCCTTAAGTTCAGTTTCACTGAAAACTATGATTTAATTTTGGGGTTGCTTCTAAAATTGCTCTCTTTGTACTGCAGATAGATACCAAAAATATTCTCTTTATTTGCGGTGGAGCATTCGTTGATTTGGATAAGACTGTTTCAGACAGGTAGTGCTTTATGAGAGCCTTCATTTTGACGTTATGTGCAAGCCGCTTTTTGGATGATGCTGGACTTTTCAGATGGCCTAGGTTTATCGCTTTGTGTAATATGAGATGAATCTATGAGTCTTTAATGATGATAAACTTTGTGTTCTGTTGTATTCTCTCCAGACGGCAAGATTCATCAATTGGATTTGGGGCCCCTGTTCGAGCTAATATGAGAACTGGAGGTGGAGTAACCAATGCTGCTGTTACTTCGTCCTTGCTTGAATCTGTAAGACTGGAGACCTACCTGAGCTAGTGCAATAACCATATATGGAGTATCATAATAGTTATGACTTATGTCAATTAGCAAGTGGGAAGACATGGTTATGCTGAAAACTTCATCAAATGTTTATCAGAGCTATGTTTGGGTTTTATTTCAGGTTGAGAGTGGTGATCTCATTGCCTATGGTCTAATACCAGAATTCATTGGACGCTTTCCTATATTAGTTAGTTTGATAGCTCTAACGGAAGAGCAGCTTGTGCGGGTAATTTACTTTATGTTATGTTGGCTTTCCTATTTCCATAAGATCTGTGCTGCTTGGGCATGTATGCTCAATAAAGCGTTTTACAGGGAAGTCAAATAGTTTTATTTCTATGAAGCTTCAGATCTCTCATCTGTATAAAACGCTATGCAGGATATCAAATTAGTTAACCTGAACTATCTGCTTCTTTCTGGATTTGTCCATGTAATTTGTAGCTATAGGCTGTGGCTTGCAGTATCTTGTCTGCAGTTTAAATATATTTCAGAGTTGGCACTTACTGTTCTTTGCTCAGAAAGGTACTACAGGACTTGAAATCTATATAATTGACGTGGTTGTCATTTTGTTGACAGGTGCTCACAGAGCCAAGAAATGCTCTCGGAAAGCAGTATAAGAAGTTATTTGGCATGAACAAGGTAGTACTCCTTTCTCTCTCTCAACCCCTCTCTCTCAGGTTTTTTCTGGCATCCAGCCAGTTTTACTACTGCTGCTGATGACTTGCTACATGAAATGCCAGGTCAAGCTGCACTTCACAGAAAAGGCACTCGGACTAATAGCCAGAAAAGCAATGGCTAAGAACACTGGGGCAAGGGGTTTGAGAGCCATATTGGAAAGTCTTCTTATTGAACCAATGTATGAGGTATGCAAGGCCCGGAGACTCCCCTTCGGCTGACATCTCGTGGATTATTTGCTTATGTGGTACACATTCATGTACTAAGCCATAGTGGCGTATGATGTATTTCCAGATTCCAGACGATGAACCGGGAAGTAACAGGGTGGTTGCAGTTGTGGTTGATGAGGAGTCTGTGGGATCCGAAAACACCATTGGTTGCGGAGGCAAGATTCTTCGTGGGGATGGTGTGTTGGAGCGGTGGCTTGAAGAATACAAGTTGAAGGATTCTCTGGTATACTATAAGCCTCCGTACTCACACGTCATTAACACGTTCATACCGATACTGAACTTATGGATGATACATAACTTTTGCAGGACAATGGCGAAGCAGTAGATGCAGAGCTGCAGGATGTAGAGTCAGAGGTGTCAACAAGAGCCATGAGCATGTGAGGAACATAAACAACCCTACAGAGTCGGCAGGCAGGCAGGCATGTATTTATTCAGCACCAGATTATTTGTAAAATGGGGTGGGTGGTTTATTTGTAAAAAGACGAAGAAAAAAAGATGCAGAAGAAATTGCAGTTCATAATTGAGAATGTAATTACTATCCCTAACCTATAAACCTAACAGCATAGCATAGTGTGGGATAAAGATTTTAGGAGCAGGGTAGTTAACACAATAAGATCCACCTTTTAATGTTGTACCATAAACACTTCACTACTTACAAGTTGCATTTCCTGAATGAAGATTTTTGCAGCACAATTTTTTGATACTGAGTTTTACAGCTTGGGAAATAGGTTCAAGGGGACTTATATGCGATCTTGGTTTGGATTATAGAAATGAGGCTATTTAATCCAATTGTCTCGAAATTACCCCATCTTACACTTTGAAATCATTCAAATTGCCTCTGTTTAGTTGTTGCCTCTCCATCTTATGTTGCCAAACTAGGTAATTTGTCTCAATTGCTTCATTAGACAATTGAGACTAATTGCTCATCTAATTTTTTATTATCCAAACGATCTATTGGTGCAAATAATCAACGCGAATCCAGCTCTTCTAAAGCATCACATTAAAGACAACAGTATTATCTTTATCTATTTTTAAAATCTCAAAAGAGGATCTTAGAGTTACAACTATCCATCGAATTTGGTTACAGTGCGTACAACATCATTCGTATTGACATGCTTATAACATCGCTGATCATTCAGTTGGGCGTTGAGCGTTCCGTGGTTATTGGATGAACGCGTTTATGTCCTGCATGTAAAGATTGCCAAAGCCAAATTTCATCAAAAGGATAAACTAGAAGCTCTTAGGATGGAAGGTCTCTCCTCTGCGTGGAGTTTCCTTCACAGATCTAAAATCTGAGCTGCTCTCCTACCATAAGTCGTATCAGATTCAATATATCATATTATTTGCATTCTGAACAAACACATAACAAGAATCAAAACCCAAAATTGATTTGAATCTTGATGATGTATCGAAACCCAACCATCATCAAACAAAGAATCACAAAAAACCAATGAATCCGGTCTGGTTGTACCCTCCACAAATCAAAACAAAAGGAAAAAAAAAGAACTCATGCCATGAACAGGTTGATCAAAATTCAGAAGATCCTCCAATTGTTTTGAGGTCTCTTGCTGCGAGTGTTCGTCTCCTACTTGGACTTGAGAAGTGCTTGGGCGTCGTTCGTTGTGGGAAGTGCAGGGATGGCTCCTTTCTGGGTCGTACAAATCGCTCCACAGGCATTCGAAAACGCCAGTGCCTCCTTCAGCTTCCCTTCGTTCTGCAAAAATCCCAACCATCTTAGTTCTCTACTCACCCACCACCATCAATGCGTCGAACCCAATTGAAAAAAACTCCATTGTAGTTACCTCGAAAATGGAAGGGTCCTTCGCCACTTGCATCAGGAACGAACCCACGAAAGCATCCCCTGCTCCAGTCGTGTCCACCGTCTTCACCGTGTAACCCGCAACCTTCCCCTTGAAACTCTGTCACTCATACAATACACACAATTTCGTCGCGCGTCAGGAAATGGTATATAATCCGTAATTGAACATCTTCCAACAACTCGAGTTATTAGAGCATCTCGCTCTGGCTGTACCTTAGTATAGTATCTGCAGCCTTTAGGCCCATCGGTGACAAGAAGTAGCTTCAGCTTATCATGCCACAGAGACAGCACAGTCTCTTCCTTCTCCGCGCTTCCTTTCGTCAAGAAATCCACCTCCTCATCACTCACCTGCAACATACAACCATCCTACAATTTCACGATTCGATCTTACGATTACGATCCAAATTTCATTTTTTCACAACATAATTTTTTTTCCGACATTAATGGGCGTGACCTTGATGAAATCGGCCTCCTTCCAGATGCTCTTGATGCCTTCCCTGGCGGCGTCGGCGGAGGGCCAGAGCGGCAGCCTGACGTTGGGATCGTAGGACAGCAGGACGCCGGCGGACTTGGCGGCCTTCATGGCGGCCATGTGGGCGGAGCGGCAGGGCTCGGAGATCAAGCTGATGGAGCCGTAGTGGAAGATCTTGGCCTGCTTGATTAAGTTGAGGTTGAGCTCCGACTCCTTGAGCAGCATGTCGGCGCTCGGGTTGCGGTAGAACATGAACTCCCTCTCCCCGTTCTGCTTCAGGGTGACGAACGCCAGCGCGGTCCTCGCTTCCTTGTCGAAGCAGACGCCGTCGGTGTTGACGCTGTTCTGCTTCAGGATGTTCACCAGCATGTGCCCGAACTCGTCGTCCCCGAACTGCATTGAATTGATAATTCTGGTGAGTGAGTTTTAGCAGGGGCAGGATGCAGGGGAAGGGACCAAATTGACTTGCAACTAAAGTTATGGGATCGGAATTGCAAGATTGTAAAATTATGGTGACCGATCTTGAAATTTGAGTTAATGCGTGACAATTTTGTAATAAGATGTCATGGTGTTCATTTAACGATGTGCGAGCGCTTAATGCATGATTCGATAATTAGAGTTTTTGTTAGCGAATTCTCACAGCTATCGTCTTAACATCTTTTTTTGAGCAACATAACATGTTTTTACAGGTTAGATCTGAAGCGTCGAACAACAACACACAAAAAATGACAACTCGAGGTTTTGTGAACACGTATTAATAGACATCGTAGTACGTTCTCACAGGCGCCATGATAACCGGATAGAGATCTGGAGTGGGGGAAAGAAAAAAAAGAGAGATCAGATCGAAAGACTGACCTTGCCGACGAAGGCGGATTTGCCGCCGAGCTTGGTGATGGCGCAGGCGACATTGGCGGGGGCGCCGCCGGGAGCTTTGATGAAGCCCTTGGATTCGGCGAGGGAGACGCCGGCGACGTCAGGGACGAAATCGATTAGCATCTCGCCGAATGCGACGATCATTGCCATTGTTGTAGCAGTGGGGATTGGTTACTGATCTCCTTCTTCTTCCGCTTGGATCTGCCCTTTCTTGGGATTTCAGTTAAGTGGATAATAATAACAATTAAGATGTGGTTGGATTAGGATTAGTAGAAGTGTTTAGAACTGATCCGCCTTCTAATTATATATAGGTGTGTATGTGTTTGGTGCGGAACTCATCACGAATGGGGTGGCGATTAGTGGAGTTGGTTTGTTTACCAAGTCAAATAAACAAAAAATACGATTATTATATTATAATGATTATTGTAATTATAATAAAGAGATGATAAAAACCATCTGGATCAGGGGATAGGGATGTTAATTAATTAATAGCTTCGTTTATTTGTTTCTTATTTAACCTCTTCCTCTAAAACAAAAATACAATCCCACTGCTCTCATAACTCAAAAAATTCAATTTTCCAGAAAAAATAAAATACTAATGTTTTATAGTTCTGTTGGAACTAAAAAAGGGCAAGATTTTCACGCAAACAAATTAGGTCAGATTCGCAGTAAAAAGAAAAAAAATGGTAAGATTTTTTTTTTTTTTTTTTTTGAAAAGAAATCTGAATATTATTAATCAAACTGGTAAAGTACCATTACAGTCCCTTTCTAGAAAGTTGAGAATGAAAATTGGGGGTCTCCCCTTCCATAGCTCAGTTTCCTCCCATCTGCATTTCGCCCTTGCCATCTCATGAGCCGCAACATTTCCTTCTCTTCCCCAAAATCGCCACCAAACATTCCCTCGCTCCAAACACCTCTCTCTAATCTCCTTCACAATAACCCCCAACTCAGTCTCGATGTTCCCTTCTCGATCCAACTTCTGAATCAGAGTTTTGCAATCAGACTCAATTAGGGTTGGCCGTGCACAGTGAGTTTGCAGCAGGTCGAGGGCCCAGAGAAATGCCTGAGCTTCCGCCATCTCCGGCTCCCAGTCGATTCGTGTCCTTCGCACCGCCGCCAGCACCAGTCGACCCTCATCATCTCTGACCACCAGACCTAATCCAGTCCCTCCCTCCCTCAATTTTGCCGCATCGACGTTTGCCTTCAGGAGGTTCCTCTCAGGCTTTTCCCATCTCACCCTTACTCGAGTGGTTCTCATGGTAAGATTTGAGTAGGATGGCAACGGATAGGGTTGGACACTGGATGTCCATTATCCTAATCGAAATAGTTTGAGTTTTACCTATATCGATTATATGAGAATCGAGTAGAATATCAAAATCATATCCATATCTTATCGAGTTTCGAATATCTATGGATAATCATGGATAATAGTTTTTCTTTATAATTTCAACCAATATGTTAACGATTACACATATACTGACGTTACATAAGTGACAAATTACAACACTAAATTAATAAAATGTAGAAAATTAGTTAAAAACATTACAAATTTATAAAAATATTATATATGGATGATAAATATAAAATATGTTGAGAAAAATAATGATATTTTTAAACAAAATACATATGCATGTGTATATTCGGGCGAGTTCGGGTTAGATAGCGAGAAAACCATGTCCACTCATCACTCACAATATTCGAGTTCGAGTTTAGCGCAATACCAATCCAAAATCTTTCGAATTCAGGTTTTATCCACTCAATTAAATCAAATTTCAATTTGGTCAGATATCCGCGAATATGGTTGTTTTTGCCATCCCTATATTTAGGCAGGTAGCTCTCTCTTCCTTCCTCCCCTTAATCTAGCAACGGACATAATTAATTGCACTAGGGATACTATTGTTACTTGGCCCATGCCGATAATTGTTAATATTAAAAAAGTAAAAACTCAAACTAGAGCCCGAAACATGACCAAATGAGAGTCCAAATCCAAAGACAAGAGTATAGCTCTAGTTACATAAAGGACCCTTTATTGCTGCAGCAAGGAAAGCGGTCATAAACGCAATTCGCATTAATCCCCCACGGGCCGCATTCGAGTTGTTCGGCATAGATTGGTTCTGTATCGTCGATAGACAAGAGGAGGCACGGCCGGTTAGAGAGTATGCTATTGACTATGGACTATGGACAGGTTAGAGAGTATGCTATTGATATGAATGTAAATTCCATTATTAATGAATTCGCTATATTAAACGATCGACGTGTACCATTGATATTGTAAAAAACTACGATTATTTTTACTATGTTCTGGATCCGCCGCTGATCCGACAACACTATCATTTTAAAAGAGGAACATGAGAGTATATCAAAGTTCTACTCATACATAATTATTCCCAAACTGAAGTTATTTCTATTGTAGAACATTATTTGTGACCACAATGTTTTGATATAGTGATCTAATTACCTGCTCTTCCCGACATATAATTAAGCCCGTCATAAACAGTTCCCCACTTTTCTTCCCTCCATCGCCGCTAGGGCGCATCACAACGTATGCTGTAGTAAGGTCGACAATATCCGGAGCCACAATAGTGACGATCAAAGCCACAGAACCAATGCGTGCTGCAGCAAGGATAGCCTTCATAAACGCATTTTTCATTAATCCCCCACGAGCCGCATTTCAGCTGTTCGATGGTTCTTGGTCCGGTATCGTCCGCCGGTGCCTCCTCCTCCTTTTTGTGGGCTGATCTCAAGGCGGCAGAAGAATTCCGGCCGCCGATGGGGTACTTCCCTACGGATCTGTTGGAGTCGGTAAAATTGGTGCTGCCGCTGCCGGCTGGGAGGAGCTTGTTGTGGCGTTGGTGGTCCCGAGCATTAGCGACGGGAGATGAGGATTGTGCATCTATTGCGACGAGTGCTATGGCGACGAGACCCACGATGAATTTGATGATGATCAACTGCTTCATGGCTCTGTGTGTCTCAACGTAACAGTACGTTGATAAGGAGTATATATATATATAATAAATAGCCGGAGGATCTGTGGATTAAATTAACTAACAGACATGGCACCAGCTGGGGTTCAGAATGAAAACTTGACCCTCTCTCTGGGATTCAGAAAACTTAGAACTCTTTATTTGTTTGTGTGTTGCCGTTTGTGTCATCTTCTTCCTTGTACAGGGAATGTGGCGGCCGGCCTCGTCGGGTCAGATCATTTTTATTTGTAGAGATTACGGAACGACACTTATTTCTTAACGTAACAGTTAAATCAGAGGCGTTACGTAATGCTTCCGTAATGATTTAGCGCTTTATGTAATGCGAGGTTAGTATCATTACATAAAAGGACCTTCCAGTACGTACGTAAGACTTCCGAAATGACACTTTACAACTGTTACGTAAAATACAAATCCATTACGTAAAGTTTGCGAAACGATAGTTATTTCTTACACAATATTAAATCAGAAGCGTTACTTAAAGCTTCTGTAATTACTTATATCACTTTATGTAATGCGTCAATGCGAGATTAACATTCATTACGTAAAAAGACCGTCTATTGCGTAAGACTTCCCTAACTAGTGACATTTTACAACTGTTACGTAACATACACATACGTTACGCCACCATTACGTAATGATATTTTATTGTAGGAAATTTCATATAATAATGGCTTGGGTATTGATGTATGACTTCTCGGTTCCATCAAGGTGTAACCACCCTGATAATCGCTAGCTGACCTGCTACTCCATATGAAATGAATATAAATATTGAGAGTGTACTTCCTCTCTAGACCCTTCCACAAGATACATTTGAAAGTCTGGTCTGAAAGACTTAGCAATCTTTCTTCTTTTACTTTGACGAATAATGGGTAAACTCGATTGTGATGTATCTTCCTCAATCCCCTCATTGACATGAGGAACTATGTCTTTTGGTCGTTGCATTGATGAAAATCGATTTTCATCAAATATGGCATCTCTTGACTCAATTATAGAATGAATTGAGTAAGCGTCATTTTGTTCTATAACATAGAATCGGTATGCCTTAGAATTTTCAGCATATCCTACAAAGATGCAATCAATGCCTCTTTCTCCCAACGTCTTCCTTTTAGGATCCGTTAGTCGCACGACTGCCCGACAACCCCAAACTCGAAGATACTCCAAGTTTGGCTTTCGTTTATACCATAGTTCATAGGGGGTAGTCACATTCCTTTTATTGGGAACCCTATTTAATAAATAGCAAGCCGTTAGCATAGCTTCCCCCCAAAACCCATTACTCAAACCAGAGTAAGAGAGCATGGAATTGACCATTTCTTTTAGAGAGCGATTTTTCCTCTCTGCTATCCCATTTTGTTGAGGGGTAAACGATGCAGAGGTCTCATGTATGATCCCCGTACTTTGGAAATAAGCCGGATCATAGTATTCACCACCTCGATCCGTGCGCAAAGTTTTGATTTTTGCTTCTTGTTGTAACTCTACTTCAGTTTTATATATACCAAAGCGACTAAGGGCTTCATCCTTAGTTTGCAACAGGTACACATAGCAAAACCTCAAATAGTCATCAATAAAGGTGATAACATATTTCTTCCCTCCCAAGGTAGGAGTGCCGTGTAAATCACATAGATCACTATGTACAAGTCCAAGCACCTTGGACTCCCTTTGCACGTTCTTAAACGGCTCTCTAGTGATTTTAGTCAACATACAAGTTTTACATTTATCACGTTGAGCATCAAAAGAAGGAAGTCCTTCTTTAGACATAGTCATCATTCGCTTATAATTCACATGCCCCAACCTTGCATGCCATAAAGACGAATCAATAACGGTAGTCATGTAAGCGGAAACAATATTATTAATTTTATTAATAATATTCAACATAAACATACCATTATTATAATAACCAAATCCGACAAACACTCCGGATTTAGATAATACATATCTATCAGAGTCATAAACTTGACGATATCCAAGTTTATTTAGTACACTTCCAGAAACCAAATTTTTCCTAATCTTAGGTACATGTAACACATCCCTAAGTACAAGAATCTTTCCAGAAGTAAATTCCAACTCTACGGTGCCACGTCCTTCGACTGGAGCAGTTGACTCATTGCCCATGTGGAGAACACAACCGTCTTCCACTGGTTTGTAAGTTTTGAACCATTTGCGATCCTTGCTTACGTGTATGTTAGCTCCAGAGTCCACCCACCAAGCAACATCATCATCCTGTACAAAATATGCTTCATTAATTAGTGAAACATAATTCATACCCGAATTTGGATCA